CCCTGGCCAGCACCTTCCATAGCATCTCTCGGTCCACCGAATCATACGCCTTGTTCAAGTCGACGAAGCACATGTAGAGCGGTATTTTCTTTCTCCGCCCCAGCTCCTGGAGGCGGCGCACGACGAACAGCATGTCGACGGTGGATCGCCCGGGTCGAAATCCGCACTGTTCCTCCGGGAGGATGTTGTTGGCTTCGCAGAAGGCGCTTAGGCGGTTGGTAATGATCTTGATGGGGACCTTGCCTACGTGAGATTGTAGCGAAATCTCCCTGTAGTTGTTACAGTTGGACCGGTCACCCTTCTCGTACAGCACCTTGATGGTTGCATCCTTCCACTCTCGCGGAATATCTCCCCCGTTCCACACCTTGANGGCAGGGAGGGAGTCATGGCCGGGTGCCTTTCGGTTCGTGAGGCCTTTCGTTGCCCGTGCCACCTCCTCGAGTTCTGGCACATCTCGACCGTTGAGTGTCACGTGTCGCTGGCCGCTGCGTCACTCGTTCGATTATGTGTGGGTTCAGGGTGGGGCATTTGGTGTTGAGTAGGGTGCTGAAGAATCTCGCCCACCGCTGGAGGACGTCGTCCCTGTTCCGGAGCAGCACGCCGTTCTCATCCGCGAGACTATGCTGCATCATCTAGAGATTCTCCCAATTTGACAATCGTGCACTCCCAAGATCCAACAGTCATCGTGTCAGCAGCTAGATTACTCAAACAAAATAGCAACACATACACGGCCATAGCTCCACACATGCCCTCGTCCGAACCTAGGAAGCCACTGATGCAAAGAGCGGAGGACAGCAAAAGGATTAGTTCAAGCCCAGCCGAAGCCAGGATATGGTGGTATGTTGTTGTTGTTGTTGTTGTTGTTGTTGTCTTCACATTAAAAACCATCCCGGTCTCTCTATCCAGTACCTCCTTCTGTGTCAATCTCTCCGTACTAATCCAGCAGTTGACTCGTTCAATTTCCGTGGTCACAGGCTAACGTACCTAGAAAAGGTATATATACCAAAATAAAATGGACCCCAAGAGTTAGCAGAGCGATGAAATACAAGAAAACAAAATAATCAGAAACAAACAAATAAATAGTGGAACGTGCGCACCACCAGCCTGGGGGGTAGCCTTCCGGAAGGACCCCAAGGGTCA